CCCATGTCTCTCGGATTCCCCACAGCTCAGTATCCCCATGTCTCTCGGATTCCCCACAGCTCAGTATTCCCATGTCTCTCGGATTCCCACATCTCTATTTCCCTATGACTTAGTATACCTACGTGTCTGATTCCCTACAGCTTGGTATTCCCATGTCTCTCGGATTCCCTACATCTTAGTATTCCCAAACCTATTGGACTCCTTACGGTTGGGTAGTTCCAAGTCTCTCAGATTCCCTACGGCTTGGAATTCTCCCTCAGAACTAGGCAGGACGCCTGGATTAAAAGCTCCTTGTACAACCCGAGCTCCCAGGCTTGCCTGCTGGGGCGGGGCAGCTCAGCGCGCCGCTCGGCTGGCGGCCTGCCGCTGTCCCACCGTGCGCGTGAAGCGCTGGATCAGCCCCTGCTCTTGCAAGCGTGCTGAGCACTCGGGCGGCCGGCTGGGGAGCCCGGCTCAACTGGATTCTCTCTCGTTGCTCCTCGGGTGCGAGCCATTACGATTAATATTTAAATCTGCCATTATTTAAAGTTGCATTTCGAATACATTCATGCAGTTTGATAGAAAATACTTGTCATAATAGTTCTCATTAACTTTTATGTAATTGTGCATTATAATACTGTAACGCTTACGGCCGACAGGCACTGTGTAAGAGCCGGCGTACCAGAGCGGGTGACGTCACCGCCCTTCCCTGTGATAGCAGGACCACAGCTACTGGGCTGTGGAGAGATCTCTCTTTAGCTCACGGGGCTAGGTCGCTGCAGAGAGACGCGGAAGTCCCGGGTTCGAGCCCCGGACGGTGCAGGGGCCGACCTAAAGCGGCAAGGGCGCCCGCCGGAGCCCCGTTGCGTTACAATACTATATATAGGATTAGATCGGATTAAGTACTAATGAGTACTGGCTTTGTCCCACAATTTAACGCAACTGCATGTTTACTGTGTAAACCACAGTCGAAGATATCGGTCTGAAAACAGCACAGATTTGTTGAGTTACTAGAACTATCATGACTACAGATTGCAGCCAACATATGGAGTAAAATAAGGCCCTGTATGTTCAGAACCATGATCTCCTTCACTGCCTGAGCTATAAAGTGTTTAAACTGCTGCTTATAAATATGTTGAATTTCTGAGTACTTAACAGTTCTCCTGGCAGCCGATGATTATAAACTTCAAGACTCTAGAAGTTGCTGTCTTTTGTGTCAGAGTTTTAAAGTATAGCTTTGAAATCCTTATACAGAAGTACTTAAACTATCAGACAGTATTCACACACAAGAATGGTTTCACTTCCAGTAGAAACAGAAAGGTAAACCACGTACTGTACATACTTTGCAATTTGAACGTGTTTTGAGGATCCACTTACCAAGGGCAGCAGTCAATCTTTCCACTGTTGGCTAGTCTGGAAATTCGAGGACTTCACAAAGTGCGTAAAGATCATTACAGGAGAAGGACGTTAAACACTTTCAAAAGTGGGGTGGAGCTATCTTTCTTAAAGGGATCACACAGCAAAGCCATACTCACAGGTTAGGTAGGCTCAGGAAACTAGGATAAAAGGCAGGTCAGAATAAGCGAGGAGAGTAATAAAAAAGTACACACCCTTGGCTCTGGAGGTCAGAAACACTAACCAGTGAGCTCAATTTCCCTCCCTATTCCTCAGTATGTTTCACTTTCCAGAGTTCTCAGGAAATAAAAAGTAATTATTTTCTGTTTGATGCATATTAGATTTTATAAGCCACAAGAAACATTCTGTTTAATATCTGAATGTCACTTAAGTTCATCTTTAAATATCCATCACTCTCTGCTGTTTTTTTTTTTTAATGAGCTCAGTGGTTGCAATAGGAACGGCCCCAAATGGTTTACATTGCCAAACGTTAAGTGGCATTTCTGAGGGACACTTTTATTTGTACAGCCCTTTTAGTAAACAGAATAATTCTGTTACAATACCAATAAGCTCCTGAATCGAAAAGAAGCAAATAGCCGATTGTCAGCGCGTGGAAAAATGGGTGAGGTAGCAACAGTAGGGGGATTCTGTTGCCTTCCATAAGAGCTGGAGCATTTGTCCTTGTTCTTCGAGCTTCCTTGTGATCAAAGGTCCTGTTTGTGTCGACGCTTGTTAATTACCACATGGTTCAGAGGTGATGGGCCCCAGCTGGCTCTGTTGGTAGGGCATGAGACTCATCATCTCAGGGCAGTGGGTTCCTGTCCCACGTCAGGCACCAGGTCCTCCATGTTGGAGGCGGGGCACAAGGCTAACAGCCCTGTCCTATTAAAAACAAATGCTACGGTTTTGGGATGGTATAGTACTCCAATTCAAAATATAGGAAAAAATTACTGGCATGAAAAATTGGCATTAGAAGGGAGCTTGACAAAATAATGAGCAACTGTCTAACGCATTTATTATACTTTCACAATGAACTGAAAAAAACATGCAACACATTTTTCTCTAAATCAAAGTTTTAGTCATTTATAATAAGGATAGATTTCACTCTGCAATATTGGTTTTGCTTACAAAACATCCATCTATTTTCTCACCACTTCTTCCAAATCAGTCACATCTTACGATTGCTGGTTCCTCCACATCTGCAGTTTCAGCGGTCAAGCTCTTGGACAGCTCCCAGTCTGTATGTCCTCGTCTCCCTTTTCCTACTCTTTCTGCATCACACCACTCAAATAACTATTGATTCATCTCACCTCTCCAAATAAATCTCCCTTTTGTGGGCAACATAAAAAGAAAATTCACTTTAAAAAGAGACCAATCAATGCCAGATAAAAACAGGACCAGAAACATCAGAAAGCCCCAGAGCCAAGAGCCTTTCTTAAAACCCCAGGCCTAAGAAGGATCTTCCTCATCATGTTGCTCAGATATTCACAAGCCTAATCACTAAGAGCTGTTTGTGCAAGTCTGTTTCTGTGACGAAAAGCAGGACTTTATAGAAGTGTACATTTTAATCGGAATCGAGTATGTGAGTTATGATTGAACACTGTAATTGTAGCAAAAGATGGAGTGCTTGTTTCATGTATTTTAAAAGATTCGCTTTCTGTAATACTCTTTGATGCATGTTAGGTTTTTCAAGCCACAGAGAAACATTCTGTTTAATATTTGAATTCCACATTTATGTATTTGCAGATTACAATCCATTCATCTTCTAACCATTTCATCCAGTCCAGGGTTGCAGGGGGGCTGTGAAACTATCTTGGCAAGCAAAGGGCAAGGCAGGAACCTGCTGCAGAGGACACATCTGAAGAAAACCCTCATGAACACAAGGGGAACATACAAACCTCCTCACAGACAGAACCCCAGCTCAGGAATTGGACCCACTGCTGCACTGCTAGCAACTGTCACCATGCTGCTTCATTTGCAGACTTACTTGAGTGCTCAAGGTTGTACCATTTGCTGGCAATTTTAATTCAACTAAAAATCCCACACACTCGGCACCCAGCTTTGTTATGAAATCATACGACCTGAGGTCACTATGTTACATTATGTGTGTGCCCCATGAGTTCGTGATGCAATACTAACTTTGTGTTTTTCGTGCTGCATCAGTATATTAGGTCTTATAAGTAAAACATTTCGCCTTTCCCACTGGGTGGCAGTAGTTTACAAGATCTGTGCTGTTTTACAGTTCTAGATTTTTAATCATTGTGTGAGAAAATGACGTCCAGTAACTTTGCTTTTAATTATGTTCTTTTGTCTCTTAATGATTCATCAGACCTCTGTAATACAGATACCTGCGTCAGCCCCAGTCAAAATGTCCTGATTTGGCTCTAATGCTCCTAAAACGTCTCTGTCTTCCACATTCCATGTCCAGACTCCATCCAGCTTCGCTCTGGAAGGGAAAGCCGTGTCTCTTTGCCTAACAATCAGATACCATAACAGCTGCCTGGTCTGAATTAATTTACTTTTTTCATTCTGACATATAAGTGTCAGAAAAGGTGAACATCCGTCACACATTTTAATTATTTTTTTTTTTACTTTCTGCGAAGCAATTTTATATATAATCCTGTTGATACTTTGTAAAAGAAGCCTTTAGTATTTAAAAATGTATTTTACTTTAACTATCTCACGCAAGAAGGTACAGTGCTATAATATCCACTAGCATGGTACTCAATTTTAAGATCAGGAGATTAGCTCAATGCAGTGGACTGTCTTCTTATCCGAGATGATCCCTATCTCAGGCCCGTTGCTTAGTGGGACAAGGTCTGGCTCCACTGCGACCCAGAGTTGGAAGAAGTGGTTAGAAAATAAATGGATTACTAACGCAAAGTGTATCTGTACAGCTGAAGGAGCAAGACTTTTGCAAAGTTAATTTGGGCAGCTATTAATAATGGTGATCAAGAAGATTGGAAGATGATGAGCAAGCTGGGTTGCCGAGCTGTCAAATCCTAATTGCACAGGACACCTTAAACCCGGTCCTACCAAAGCTGCCAAAATAAGGAAATGCTACACGTTATTTTTTACCACGTAACTAGCTATAGAAGTCAAAGAGAGCAAAAATGATTTTCAGATATGATTATCTGCCCTTAATCAAACCATAGGCAAGAATAACATGTTGTTGCCTGGCCTAAGACCAGAATTTAATTCCATCTCTCACAAAAAGAAAGCCAACCTTGTTATAACAATACACCTATGTCTGAGGACACCTTTTTTTTCCTCCTGTAACTATGCCAAAACATGTTTTTGAGCACACTATGCCTGCCAGATCACCTCTAGGAACATTCCACAGAAATTTGTATTATGATTATGACTTATTTTCACTGAAGCGACACACAGAATCATAAAAAAAGACATTGATACTTGAAAATGAAGTACAGTACAGCTGTAAGCTCTTAATCAATCAGTATTTGTCTAATAAGACAGTAAAGGTGTTCTCCAGATACTAAGGCTTTCAGGTTTTCTTTGTTCACCCTATTTAAAATAGGTTTGCATATTGCATATCTGAAATAACCTCACAACTAGTATCAGGGGCCCATTTATACTTGACCAGACACTGTTTCTTTCCAGTAAAATCAAAACTATTTAAAAAAATGTATCCTTAGTTGACCAAAAATGGGGTCTCATTCTCAGGTAATTTATTAATGGTGTATTTATTTTTTTAAGATATGCTGTTTACGAAATGGTCCGAAAATAGTGAAGACTAAGGTGCAGATGGAAGGACTAAGTTCTCATGAAACTGACCAACAAGAATGACGCTCACCTCCAGGCACCCAGAATCGACTTTTCGATTAAGTTTCTGTCCCAGGGGAGTTCTCCAGACATCAGCCACTAATCAACAGATTTTCCCCCATCTGCACCCTGTTGTGAAAACCCAGATCAAGCTTTACAGAACACACACAAAATGAATTGAGTTGCCTTTCTGGAAAGTCCAGCTCCACGTTCTTCGGAACAGTTCAAGCCGATCTGCCCTGATTCTCAGTTTGCATGTCACACTTGAATCATTTTCACCCTCCTTGAAAAGACAAATATGACTTTTCATTCAATGTTATCAGTATTAAATTCTCATTAAATCTCTGTGAAGAAGAAAAGGGAAAAAAAATGTGTCCTTGAATGTGGAGATAAAGCTTTTTTTATGTCATCATGAAAGCATAAACAAGGTAAAAAAATATTTCCAAATGACACAAATAAAGCACATCTTCTATTTAAGAAATGCGTACACACCAACCAGGTGTGTTACTAGAAAGAAATAAAGAGGTCTTGTTTATCAAGGAAGATTGTAACAAAATAGATTAATATTTTTTTAAATCTAATCTAAATCAAATAATTATGAAAATTAGTTTTCAAATTATTATTATTGATTTGCTGTTCTGCTTTATATTGCTTATTTATGCTGTAATTGCTCATGGTATATAGAACATTTTTGTTTTCTTTTAATTAAAATTCTAAATAACTTGAATTACTGTATAGTTAATTGTTTCCCCAATAATTTTCTTCCCAGGCCATTCTCTTTAACAGTTTGTTAAAAGTTATTTTACTAAATATTTATAAATCAATCAACATAGTTTTTTTTAAATCTTACTCAGTGAATGAATAAAAATTCCTACAAGAAAATTAAGAGAAGGTAAGAGAGAATTATAGAGGATTTGCACTTTCAATTTGAAACTTTATGCAAGATGCAGTATCTTAATAAAACAATTACAATTAAATTATTAAATGTATTATTATTAAATGTGATGTAATGATATCAGGCGTAGTAGAGGGTATTTCTTGGCGTTAATAGTGTCCTATCAATGGCATCTGTGGTCGGGCAGCTCTTGACCTCAAGACTTCTATCTTCATTGTTTGGGAATCTCAGATCTCCTTCACAAACACTAAATCATTCTGGTATAACAGAAATGTCATTACCGTTGCAATAAAAACAATCATGAGATACAAGTGCTATTCAACTTTAATTTTATTTATTATTGCAACATAGACAAGCAGAAACAAAAATTCATTCTCCAGAACCAAGCCTGAAAAAGCCCATGATCCTCCTTTCAAACAGCTGTTTGATTTGAAGCACTAGTCTTTGGGATGCTGCTAACTTAGAAGTGCGCTCTCAGTGTGGACTGACCCACTGGTAAAGAGATGGGTAAAGACTTAAGGTTTTAATGGGTGGAGTTAGACTTGGACCAAGTGATAGTATTAGGACAGAAGACAGATTTAATTTCGGAGCCATTTGGGCCTCGTGCTTTAGGACAGTAGTGAAGCCTGCGCTCTTTGTGAAAGTAAACCTTATTCTGAAAATTCATAGTTAAACAGGTTAATTACAGGTTAATTAAGGTGTTAATTACTTAATAGCTGGACCAAATGGTAAATAAAAAAATAAGACCCTGAGGCTCTTCAGGTCTCCCTACCAGCGTTCTGGAAGGCATGTTCAATCAGATGAGGTGACAAATCAAAGGGTTATGCAGCTTGAATGGTTCACCTGCACTGCAGGTGAATGAAAGGAAAGCATTATTTCACAGCACTGGGGAAAGTACAGTATTATGTTACCCGATAGAATAAAAAACAAGCAGTAGACGAAGTCTAGATCCTTAATGGAGATGGCGGGTCACAGACTCCTATCTTTCGATCGCACTGCCTTCATGCTGATTAGCAATCTTACGGCAAGAACAGAACAGCTGCAAGAATGTAAACTTACGCAGGCACAACCATTTCCACCACCTGATTAACAATGAACTGAGCCTGGAAGACTGAAGAAACTCTTTTTGAAACAACAGTTAAAACAGATCATGTGCAAACAGAACAGAACCGTCAAGGATGCATACAGTGCTTACGAAATGTAGAAAATACCAAACGCTCCATGTGCCATCACTAGAATTATATTCCTTAGGGTTTCTACTATTGTGGGAGGGGTTTTTAAACGTAGATAAAAGTCCCTTAAATATTTTTATATTTACAAAAAGAAAACAGGGCATGTGGATGATATGACATAAGAAAATTAGTCTTCGGAAACCTTGTAGAAAGAGCACCAGCTAGTTGTGCTCTCGTTCCCCCTTGGCTGACCCGGTGCTCCTCTGGAGGCGTGCCGGAGCATCCTTGTGGAACTTGAAGAAAACTCCGATGAGGAGGTCGGAGACGCTGGCAGGGAAGAAGCTGTGGACGAATGGGATGACGCTCGCTAGCCTGCCCGGAGCGTAGACGTGCTCGGGGCGCACCGCCAGCAGGGCATGGCAGATGTTGTGGACCACAGGCCACAAATCCACCGAGGAGACTGCAGACATCTTGGGCATGCGCTTCTGAAAGGAGGAGATGTACTCTTCCCCGTAGTCCTCTTTAACGTCCTGCGGGACCTGGGAGAGAATCTCTTCCTGATAGCAGCTCCATTCCTCCCTTGTGCCAAAGATGTCTGAAAGAGAATAAAAATAAACCCAATAGATACTAGTAATGTGAACGCAGATCAGGATACAACTGTCAAAGAGAGAATACAGGACAATCAATGTGTGCATTTCCTGGATTCCTGACCAACAAAAACATTCTGGGTTTAAGTGCATCTGTCTAATATTTAGACAATGGACAATAGTTTTTGTTTTCAATTGATCTAATGATGTTGTCATGTAAGTCTTGCAGAACTTTTTCTCTTAGTCTTTTTTCTCCGTTTCAACGCCATTACAGTTGCAGGGAAAGATTTGCCAATTATTATGTGCAAGCCGTGAGGTCACCAGAGTGGTGGCCAGGTGTAATTAGTTCACTTTTTTTAGCTTCTGCAACGAGCTGCCTCTTACTCTGCTCCAAATATCCTCAGTTTGTTGAAATACCTACTTGTTCTGAAACCTCCAGGCTGGATAACAGAGACTCTGATGCCCCAACTGGATAGTTCATGTCTCATCACCTCAGAAAACATGCTCAGGGCTGCTTTGGAGGCACAATAGGCAGAGAACATAGGGACTGGAACCTTGGCTGCAACACAAATATACAGGTAAACCGATCACTCTGGCTCCTTTCGGGAAACAACTGGACCAGATCCTCAAATCAGTTACCTGCTGCCAATCAATCAAGCTAGACGGCAAAGCTGCCTCCTCTCACTTGCAACCGTTAAATTCTAAACTTTGTCAGCTGCCGTGCTACATTTCCCAATGCTACACATTTGTCATCTAGACGGGACATATATTTGTGTCCTATTCGTGACACAAATGGACCAATAGTGCAAACTGTCAAAAGTCTGTAATAAATGTGTCTCCTGTTCTCTCACCTGCCATACTTGAAACGTTGACCATCCTGCCTCTGGCTCTGCGCAGCAGGGGCAGGAATGTCTGGGACAGCTCCACAGCACCCAGGAAGTTGACCGCCATGCACTTTTTAAACACTGTCATGGGAAGAATTTCTCCATCTGCTAAATATCCCAGGATTCCTGCATTATTCACTATTGCCCAAAGTCCTACAGTGAGAACGCAACAGAAAAAAATGTCATTATCTAAAAAGTCTTATTACTGAGGTGCTATTAACACTTTCCAACAAGATTTAAATTCTCAGACTTATTAAGTGACTATTATGAACTGGTTGAGACAATATGAGTTTGACTGGCTTCAATGGGCATTAATTGGTGGAAATGGGACTGGCGGGGTTACACTGGTGAACAGGTATAAGCAAAGCATTAGAATGCATTAAAACTGTTCACCATTAAAGTTCTGGATGGTATGAAGAGATTTTATTGAGGGTTTGATACAGAATTTCCCTGTTAAACAAGAGAGGGTGACGCAGTGATCCAATCTCTGTCCTGAGTCTCGCACTGCCTACCTTAACCGACCATACTGATCTTAAGAGTTCTGATCAACATGCCTGTAAAAACATTTACAAGGACAGAATAAGACTTACCTGTAAGTACATGCACATGACATTCCAATCCTTGCAACACAAATGATTTTATTTTGACACCGAGGAGCCAGTAATATAACTGCCTCATTTGTAGCATTCTTTCATATTGGGCCAGCAAAGCCGACGTATATCTGATATGGATCTATTTTCCACATAGAATGTCAGTATATTGAATGTAGTGTTTAAACTTTCATTGCATGATTCGGATGAGGCTATCACAATACATGCTTTAAGAAGTCCAACGTAGAATTAATGGGCCCATCCACCAAGAGCTTGACTCGACTCATCTGTGCAGAGCAAACTCAGAACAACTTGATATCCTAGTCTATGGTCCATCCCATTGAGATGCATCACAGCATACCTGTTTCGCCCACTTCAGCTTGAATTTGCTGGTAGGCCTTCCTGATCTGTGCACTGTTGGTCACATCCAGCTGCAGCACAAGAAGTCTCTTTGAGCTACACCTCCTCAGTTCATCAGAGCCGGGACTCTGCTCATTTAAGACCCCAGCAAACACGGTCACACCCAGGCTGTCCAAGTGCTTAGCCAAGGCATGACCGAAACCTGAATCACAGCCTGAGTGGGGCAAGCAAAGAAATACCCAATGAATTTCTTCAGAAATACTCTTCGACAGTACAGACATACTTCCAGTTTCAACATTTTTAATGTGACCTGCAATCATCCTGGTGTCCATGTTATCAGATTAAAGTCGTGTTCTCTTGACTTTATGTGGTTTATGTGGAAGCTTGATAATGTGCAACGTTTGCTCCATAGTAAAATATGTCAGGCACAACACAAGAGTCCTTCATCCACAGTTGCAGTTTTTGCAACTAATGGTGATGGAGGCAAGATAGTGATTTTTTTAAGTCTAATAATGACTAAAGAGGTAATCCCAAATTATTTTAAGAATGCCAAGAACTTCAAATGTCTTGAAATTTGAAGAGTAGACAAATCTCTTTGCTGTCAATAGCTGGCAAGATCATAAGAAACTGTCAGAACTTTCTCATCTCATCAATGAATCATTAGATCTTACTGGAAATTACTTGCTGATTATTTAATGGATTACTTTGATCAAATTTTCTAAACATTTCCTGTGATTAATGTGATTTAAAATGATTAAATTAAGATTAAAAATACATATCACAGTTTATCCTCATCCAAACCAAGATGTACTAACAAGATATATGTTATAATAGTAAAAAGACTAGTAAAGATTGAGTAAGTTGTTGATGCTCGTAACATAATTGACATTATAGACATATATCAAAACTCCTTATTGCATCTATGATTTTTGTTCAGCAATATATGAAGATTTTATCTATGGAGTGTAGAAAATGTAACTTTCCTACATGCTCTTTGTTGAGTCAAACTGCTATAACAGTCTGTGACATCAACCTGTCTCATATACCGTATGTAATATTTATATTGAAAAAGATGAAAACAGACATTCAAAGTACAAGCTAAAGTTATGTCACTAGCCAAATGTGGCCAGAATTCCACCAGTGCATAACTGGGACAGTTGAGATGGTTAGTTGGCCAGAACTCGCTTGGATCCCTGCAAAATTGAGAGCCCTGCAGCGATCTGGGCACCTGTAGGTTGACAGTGACATCAGGGAGGGAGAGGCATCTCCTTCCGTTGGCTCGTGACCCGTCGGTACGTCCCTGCAGAACTTGTAGGGCATAAAAAGATGAATGGTTCTGATAGCCAGGCAAGTCAGAGGAGTTGTTCCTGCATTTCCTCATTCTCCCCTTGTGTTGCGACAAGGGTGTTCACTGCGAGCTCAAACCTGAAGGCACACTTGGCAGGAATACTGAAAGCTGATGATGACTAAGCACTGATCTCACAAGAGGATCATGGCAAAGGCAAAGTTTGAAGACCTACTGTACCAATGAGATATGCATCAGGCTTCCAGTTTCTATTCGATAGCCTTTGTCCACCAGGGCACCACAGCAAAACCGATGTAAAACCTGAGGCTAGCAGAGCCTGTCTGGTATGACTCAGATATCTGTCCATGTGTAACAGAGCAGCCGCATCCACAGTGTTGGAATTAGGTTAGGATGCCAGGAGGTGGCATCGAGACAGCGAGATTCTTGGCTAGCAGTCTCACAGGGAGACTGGTGGTTATTATCCGATTATTAGTCTTGCAGTGAAACGTCAGGTAATTGAAAAGGTTACTGATGGCAGGGGGAAGGCTCTTGACAAGTAGCAGCCTCGGTCTTTGTCATGTCAGCCCGCCGGTGAGGTAACTACTGTAGTGGAGTGTGGGTCCAGCCAAACGCGATTCACCCAGTTGAGGGAGAATTCCACCAGTGCCACACGTGAGGGGCGAGAAGGTGACAGGCACGCTAGCGCCAGACCAGTTACAGGTTAAAAAGAAACAGTTTCCGCTAAATCCCAGTGATACAAAGGGAATTCATGTGTGCAGATCTATGCCTGGCTAACAAGTTAAGGGGGATCTGTCGCACTATGGCACTACACAAACTGTGGTCCGAGTGTCACAGGACTGAAAAACTGCTTGGAGAGAGCCTATTTATTTTTTTCCCCAGGACCGCTTCAGGATCCAGTTAATGCCTACTGTTGTTCGCCACTTCCCAGCTAAACTGAATACGTGCCCTTTTCACTTCACAAGCAAGGTGACAAACAAGAGGAGTGTGTTCAGCCCATCGAACCTCTAAGGCAGTAAGTAGTTAATTGGTGCGGGGATCTGATCCAGCTGTTCCTTGGTTCTGACTTCCGATTGGAGAGTTCATTTTTGCCTGAGTGCTAGAATGCGCCCAGACTGGATTGTGAGTTCTATTTGTCTAAGAGAATAGCATACTGCAACCCACCATGACAAAAATCCAAAGGTGACATTAAAAAAAATGAATAAATGAATTGACTGGCCAACTTTAGAAATCAAACGCTGAGAACAGATGGCCTCACAGCTCCCTTTGGCTTCTTTTGTTTGTCTCTAAAAAAAGCCCAAAACCACAGGCATTTGCATGTGAATACTAATCAAATGTGATTTCCTTAAGAACAAAGGTAATATCATTAAGTCCACTCATCACTGGTGAATCAATAAAACTATTTCTTTAAAAATATGTTTCTGAGATTTGAGGAAAGTACTTGAATTTATTTTTGGGGTACATCAGAAATTTACCATGAAAATAAAAATCCCACAACATTTTTATATGTGACAGAGGTGGTACAAATCTTGAAAAGTTAAATGAAAAATGACTTTTGAATAACTAGAACAGCACAATCAGTGCAAACTTTGAGACAACACCAATTTGGCAAAAAAGAAATGCACATTTCTTTTAAAATGTGCAGTAAAATATAAATCCTAAAGCACTTGCTTCTCTTCAATGTTTCAATGGCGTGCAGGGAAAAAGGGATTCACTCTGAAAAGAATAAAGCGCATTCTTCTTACCTGTAATCAGCACACTCTTATTGTTCACAGGTAGCAGCTTCTGCGATTTTCCCAGGAGTGACAATGAAATGTAGTAGAGCAAGGAGAGCAGGAGTAGCCCAGCATAACCCGGGACCTTCAGAAAGCACAGGGGCTCCACCAGGACAGCCAAGAGAAGGCACCAGATCAAAGACCAAGACCCCAGTTTCAGACCCCCTTTCACTCTCAATATTACTGCCCCTGCATACAATGTTGTTATAGAAGCATACAGCATCAGGAAGTACAAAGATTCACTGAAAGATGTATCCATTATGACTGATTCTCAATGCACAGATGGGTTTCTTCTCCTTCTTTTGGATTTTCATATGGTTTCTGATGGGTTTTTTTTTTTTAATCGTTACTCTGCTTCCTCTTCCTTGTACAGCCGGTCATCAGGGTCTCTCTTGGAAGACCAGTTTCCAAGTGGTTAACTATACTCTGTAAAAAAAAACAACCCTCTGCACCCTCACTTGGGAAAAGCAACAGAATAAACCACACCTCCCCAACTCCCTCCCCCTCCCTCCCTCCCACTTCAGTTTATAATAACTGATGTTATCCATAACTGCAGATACATACGGTGCTGAATCAACAGCTACTGCTCACTGAACGCGATGGGATGGTAATGCTCTGCAGTGTATTTTGTCACAACACAGTAACAAGTCCTAGACACACTAGGTCTAAGCGAAGAAAAGAAAATGTGTGCAGTCTTGTTAGGAATGTTCAGTATCAACAACAAAATAATTTCAGAACACAAGTGAGGGTGTTCTTTAAAATACACTAGTGTGCAGCTCCAGCCAAAGTGAAACAAAGAGAAATACTTGCTCAGATAACAGAACAATGCACAGTGTTAAAAATTTTACTTTACATTTTTCCTAACAAAAATGTGTCAACATGTTTTAAATGTTCAACTATTTGAAATAAACTTGTTTTGTGCTTACCATCCGAGTGAATCTTCTAAATAACGTAGAAGGCATGGAATCCTTTTAGCATGCTTCTCATGTTATTGTATCTGGTGCAATCAATAGAAAGAGTGGAAATACAGCAAGGAAGCAAATTGTCATTGGAGCTCCTTGCATTTGCACGGACAAGACTTTACACATTACTAAGGAATGTTTCTACTTGTCCAGTGTATTTTGTTATTGCTGATTTGGATTTTTTAAAGATGTTTCATCCTGGTTCTTAAATCACTCTGCACATCGGTTGGGTTTAAAAGACTTGTATTCAAATGTGAAGACAAAAAAAAGAAAGAAAATCCAAATAAGAGATTTGTGGAGTCAAAACCCAGACAGACTAAAAACAATGGACAAATAGTGGGTGTGGACTGTAACTAGTCATGTAAAAGAAGAGCCAAAAATTGACTTTTGGCACTTGAGATGAGTATCTTTTTGTTGGCAGCTGCTGGACATTTTGACACTCCACAGAGGCCTGGACGAGCGCAGCACTGACAAACATGATACGAGTGGTTTGAGAAATAGCATATCATCACATTTATTGAATGCGTAACACTGACAGTGAATGCCAAGGAGGACGCACAAGGTGAAAACTGGACACAAAATGAGTCGTCAGATCCAGATCTAAGCAGGCCCATCCCCAGACGGTGAAACAAGTTCTTCTTGTGGAACAAACGCTGCATAGAGAGGCTGTAGACTCTGTTCAAATGGACAAAAACAGGCCCTAGGCAGCATTACAAGTGGAGCTGCATTCGTTTTACAAATAGGAAAGTTTAATGGACATGACATGTTGGCATATTATTCCCATGTTTCACCTACTTGTGGACACCCAGTGCACATTTCTGGTCCTAAGGTTTCTCCCCTTTCAAGAAGGAAGAGGGCTGAAGGTAAAGACCTCTGTGAGTGGGTAAGTAAGAGCTACCAGGAGTGCCAAAGACTTCTCTTGGAAACAATCATCTGCTTTTTTGTTGATGTGTTCATTTTTATTACATTAGTCTTTCAACAAACATCCTATTACTCGCTGGAATATTTTTAGCCCTTCGAATTCATTAGTAACACACAATGAATTCTGGCTCATGTTCAGAACAGCAAGAAGTAGCTAGGTTTCCAGCCAAACTTCTACTAATCTTAATCTGTCGGACAAAATTAAGATAATACAGACTTTAATCACATGATTTTGACATTTTGTGCCCTGCAGACAATATCGGGATAAAACAATGCGGTTCACTGATTTCCCAACTTTGACTCAGGACTTCATCAGTAATTTCAAAGATCAGTATATCAATCTGGGTCCAAGCTGCCCTCTAACGTAGACGGACGTTGGTCAGAGCTTGGTTGTGCTCCATGTCACCTTCAAGCACATGCTAGTGACTGAAAAGGGTGGCGATCACTGCACTGTCCATGTGTTCCCATGTTGTATTGTAAAACAAAAGATTGAAAACCCTAATTAAAAAGAACTGTGGTTAGAGAATGGATACTGTTAACAGGGTAGCAAACTTAAAAAGTATGATAATAAGGGTTAATACTAATTACTTCTTCTTCCAGTGTTCAACTAATCTGGTTCACCATACTGTGCAAGGAACCTTCCACTAGAATCAACACTTTTAACTGCCAATCATAAGCGTAAACTACATGTATACTACCTAATAACAATGAAGTCAGACAGCTCTGCTCTGTCTGAAAGAGTGTCTTACCTGATTCAGGTATGTCTGAGTCTCGTTGGCCTTTTTCAAGTCCTCCTGGCTCTGCAGTAATTTGGCTACAGCAGATTCTGAAACATTATTTGAAGTCATTAGTATGGAGTGAGTCTAAAACATGCACGAACAGAGGGTACGCTTTGTTTATACTGTAATGTGTGTGCAGCAGCTGCAGCGATTTACGGTACACCTGGTGAACAATTCCACAGATTTGTGCAATTCATTTATCATCACTGTCTGAAACGTGTGTTGTTCCAGACCTGTGCAATAATGTAACGTGTAGCACCCAGGCTAAAAAACGATGTTGCTTTCTGCTCTAACCCCCAACTCCTGTATCGTAAAATCATTCAATCGTTTTGTGTACTTATTACCTGACTTAAAAAGTTAAATGTGTTAAACACAATGTGCTGCAGTGGAGTGGCTCTCCGTTGTTTGTTACGGGGGTTTAAAAACCGTGAAATTATTATTTTTTAAAATAATGTTACAACTTAATGTACAGTCTTTGATGTGCATTCAGCAACTACTGTTCACATTATACCTACGACTACAAAAAGTTGCAAAATTGCTATATAAATGAAAAACATGTCTTCCTTCCCTGAATCTGTATCAGATAGGTAAAAATAGAAGTCTGTAGAATACATCGTTGCACTAAGTCGTAGTGGTACCAAGTTTACAGTTCCTCACTTCTCCGACCACAGCCAGTCATCTAAAAGTGAATTTAGATGGCATTTTAACGATAACACGTACCTAAAGAATTGCTGATAGCGTTCAGCCGACTTATAACATCTCTCATTTCATCGGGTTTCAGTTTCCCCGCCATTTCTGCTCTCCGCAAATGAAACCAAAACAACAAGCAACTGTACTCAAATTGCGTAAGCAGCTTCAGACTCCCCCCGCCCACTGCGGGGTTTTATTAGGTGGCGGGCGGGTCAATACGGGGAAAAACTACGTAGTTTTGTTCGGGAATCCTGGGGAGCTCCGCCTACATCGTTCCCGCAGGAAGGTGTCGCTGTTTTAATGCGCCGCTTGCGCGCATGCGTGCTGCGAGGTTTGGGAAAAGCCGGAGGTATGTGTTGAGCTGTGTCCTTCCGTAAATAAAGTCATTTCTGTTTGTAAATCAGAATGTTTTCAAACCTCTAGTACAAATCTATCAAATAGACATGTACATACTGCGTTCTTGTGTTAATTTCACAGTCAGCTGCTCAACGTAGTATTATTATTATAAAGAAATACTGAGCTCTAACCAGGTTTTCGGCTTTCGTAATTCTGACTTTGTAATCAAAGGTGACGACACGGTTAATTGTAATTATGAAATGTTGATTAGAGTATTTTAACGCAAAACGGTAATAAAACATAGATTGGACGAGCCCCATTCATCTAAAATTTGAAATAATCTCACAATTGTTACCAAATATTTTTAAGACATCGATTGTGATTATTTAACCATGTCGAACATCTCAATTCCTAAAAGATAAATATATATATATATATCTTCTGAATTAAAAACAGACTTTGCTAACACTTTAAATATTGAATTGGAATAATGCATAACAGAATAACGTTCTATCGTTAAAAGTTATCTCAATTTGTTCCTTAAAGGTATGGAACAGCTTAACCAGGGCAAAACAAAAGAGATGGTTCTCATCACAGGAGGAGGAGGCTATTTTGGTTTCCGGTAAGTTGTCGCATGAAGCTGTTCGATCTGAGCTCATATTTCAGTCTGAAGGCGCCGTGGTCAGTGGCCCTGGGGCCCGGGTCTCATGCCCAACCTGAGGTGTGGGGGGGTTTCTTCCTGTGGGTTTCCTCTGGGTGCTTCAAAGCCATGCAGGTTGGATGTCTTTCTGGCCTGGCGCCCATTGCTTGCCAAGATGGGCTCCAGTCCCCCCGCAACCCTGAGATGGATTACACAGGCAGCGGATGGATGGACGGATTCATCTGGGCTCGTTTGGGATGTTACACACACCTTTCTTCGCCACTTTACAAAAAGGATGTCTCAGGATATCGTGTCGCGCAGGAGGTCCAGTCAGAGGGGGGTTGCATAGGGCCTTGATTCCCGAAAGTGGAAGGGCAAAGCTAATCCAGTTGCCTACTTCGGGTTAAAAACAGCAAATCGAAGACACAAATCTTAATTTAAATAAGATAAACCCAGGTTCCTTTACACCCGAAGTCTCCAGCCATGGTCTGGTAGAGCCCCAAACCAGCAGGTTGTGGGTAAATGACCAATTTCTAAAGATTTGGAACTATTCCATTGTGATTATTTTTGGACCAAAACATTAATTGAACAGGATACTTTCTGCATTCATCAGTAATGCACGACTTGTAAAACGACTTGGGTTGGGGCTGTTGGGGACCAGGGTTGCCGGAGCTTTACATAAAGAGTGGTGGATGTATGAATCAGGCTAGTCATCTACTTGAAGACCATAGCCCGTCAACAAATAAAAGGGTGAGGTAATTGGATCAAGAACTTTCTGGCAGCCAAGATGGGCTGAATTATTCCTCTAATTTTTATCTCTGTTCTTCAATACATTTGTGTATTTAGTCATATATAGTTCAGAAACTCCTTTCATGGATGTACTGAGTTCCATCTCCGTAATTCTTTTTTATTTGCTGTTTCTTTAGAAAGTGAGAAAGTAACACGGGATATTTGTAGGTGAAAACAAGTCTCATTTTGAGGGAGTGTGTAAAATAAGCATTTAAAAAAGTGACATTCTCTTATGTGTCCTTCCCTTCACTTGTCATTTATTTAAAAATAAATATGTAAAATAATATTGTAGCTTATGCTAGATATCAGTAAGAAGATTTCAAGTGGTTCATGCATAGGGTATAGCTGTCAAGATGTGTGATTTACAGGTCTGCAGAATACAAAGAAAAGTACATTTGTGTAATAAATAGTTATTTGTCAGGTTGGCATCGATAAATGGAATTATGGCTTCAATGCCAGAATGATTCACATTTTCACTCCTCCTCTAGTCTACTGCAGATGTGATGAAAGACATTGTAGAATTACCTAGATGTTTAGTTCCATAAGTTAAAACAAAAACGTGATTAAACCTTTTTTTTCTTCCTACTTTTTCTTGTGAAATGAACTTCCACTTTTTGCTGACTAAGCTCCCTACTGGATTCTGGTCCATTTTTTTTTATTCTTCATCATATAATGTCGATTTTCAGTATTAATCAGTCCACAAAATTCGTCTTTCCACTCCAGCCCTGGAGCACTTTGGAGACTTCAAGCCCCAAGGAATTACAACAGGACCTGAAGTTCCTCTAGGAGGCAGCCTTGCACCAACTATCTGGTGTTTTTGTAAATGTTTCCACTTGTATTTCATACTTCTTTTCAGTCATTGACTTGCTTGCATGGCCCTGAGTCTAAGGTTGTGTAAACTATTGTGGTCTTCGGAAAGTATTTTTTTTGTAATGTAACAAATTTGTATTTAACTCTTTAAATTCAATGCTTTTATCTCCTTCCTAATTGCAGAAATTACACTCTTTTGATGCTTTTCTTATTGATCAAAGGAACTGTTATGTTTATGTAAATCATAGTTTTGTTTAAAGAATCAGTTGTGATGAGCTCCTGAAAATATTAAATATTATATTTTGTGAAATTAAATTTAATCTAATGAGATTTTTTAACATGTTTTTGTGTACTGATGCTGAACACCCTTTATACAGTAGTTAGAAATGAAAAATCGCTTGAAATAATCTCTTCCCCTAAACTCATTTTTGTTGCAAATCAATGAAAATAGACTTTGATAGGAACAATAAAAAGCACCTTATCAGACTGTAGATAGACAAAAACCAGATTACATGAATTAGACAAAGGAATATCACCCCCGAGCATTAAAGCAATAATAAAGATCTTTTGCCTGTTGTAAGCAATGCCACTGAGATAACTGCGTGTACATAAAGCTCTTAAGGATTAACCAACTGCATAGCCTAATTTTAGTCTCTTACATTTTGCTGCAGGACTTCTGGATTACATTTTCCTCATTTCTATCATCTGTACAGCACCACTCTTGGGGCAGTGCTCTTGTACCTTGCAGGGTGAATCATGCTGCCTTTACACGCCTGGCCACTGCTGTGTTTTCTTGTTCGAATGCATTATTAATGCCAGAGTTTGAATATGAATTTCTCTGCTCTGCGCGTAACACAAGTCGGGCTGAAAGGCTTGTGCAGATTGATAACCCATGCTTATCTTTACTCCTCAGCCTTGCATGCGCTCTGCATGAAGCGGGGGCATTAGTCACTCTCTTTGATGTCCAGCCCCCGAGCGAGGCCATTCCAGATGGCATGGCGTTCCTGCGGGGAGACGTCAGGGAATACTTGGAGGTGGAGGGGGCAACGCGGGGGGTCGGCTGCGTCTTCCACACCGCGTCCTACGGGATGTCGGGGAGAGAGCAGCTGGACCGCGCCCTGATCGAGGAGGTGAACATGCGGGGCACGGAGCACGTGATCCGGGCCTGCGTGGGAAACGCCGTCCCCAGGCTGGTCTACACGAGCACCTTCAACGTGGTGTTCGGGGGGCAGGTGATCGAAAACGGAGACGAGTCCCTTCCCTATCTGCCGCTCCATCTCCATCCTGACCACTACTCCAGGACCAAGTCCCTAGCTGAAATGGCGGTGCTGAGGGCCAACGGCACAGCCTTGCGAGGCGGGGCGGGCCTCTTGAGAACCTGTGCCCTGCGTCCGGCAGGGATTTACGGGCCCGGTGAGCGGAGGCACCTGCCGCGAATCGTCCGCTACATCGAAAGCGGGATCTTCAGGTTTGTTTACGGGGACGCCGGGAGCTTGGTGGAGTTCGTCCATGTGGACAACCTGGCGGCCGCGCACGTGCTGGCCGCCGAGGCCCTGACTGCTGCAAAACGGCACCGAGCAGCAGGCCAGGCCTACTTCATATCCGACGGCAGGCCCGTTAACAACTTCGAGTTTTTCCGGCCTTTGGTGGAAGGCCTTGGCTACCCTTTCCCAAGGCTCCGCCTCCCGGTCTCCCTCGTCTACTTCTTTGCGTTCCTCACGGAGATGGTTCACTTCCTCGTTGGCCGACTGTACAACTTCCAGCCTCTGCTCACGCGGACGGAGGTCTACAAAACGGGTGTCACCCATTACTTTAGCATGGCCAAGGCCGAGGAGGAGCTGGGCTACGAGCCCCGGCGTTACAGCCTGGATGACGTCGTGCAGTGGTTTAAAGACAAGGGCCACGGAAGAAAGCCACGTTCCCCCTCGTTCAAACAGCTGCTCCGGGACGTGTTTCTCATGGCTATGTTAGTTGCTGTTATCTTTTCCTACATTCCAGTTGTTGGCACGTAACTGCATTGAACTGGCCAAGAGATCTAAACTGATGAGAAGGAATTTCTAATATATTATTAAATGTGGCATTATAAAATGCGGTATACTTAGTAGGGATTTACTACATTGTGTGCTGTTAGAGCCCTAACAAGCTCTTAGCTCGTGCTCTAAAACAAGATCAGGAATTGATGGCATTGTTTTTAACCTTATGTTTGCTGTAAAAACTGTCAGTGGTTGGACAGGCAGTGTTGTGTGGACTGATGTGTTACTCTCAGAGATGTATAACATTCCACAAAGAAAGAAGGAGTACTCACAACACAACACTGCTCCTGGTGTAGGTGCTAGTCAGTTTGGGGTTACTCTCGGCAGTGCTGGTACAGGTTTGCACAGCTGGTAGGACTGGACCAATTGAGGGGAAGTGTCCTGCTCAAGTGTACAATAGGACTTCAGCAGGGACTTGAACCCACAATCGTCCAGATGGCAGCCCAGATTTCTAACCTCTAATAGTCTTGTCCTGGTCTTTAACACTTCAGTGTTTATAGTTCCAGATCTCAACAAGATCCTTTTTTGTAAACGCCTCTTTAAACAAATACATGAAATAAAAGTTTTTGAACTTTCTCCTGTCTCTTTTTTCATCTGCTTGTATCACTGCCTTGTGATTATCATTACTGCAGTCATATAAAAAGTCAGAGAGGTGCATGTATAAATGAAAGAAGAACAAGCTGTGTAAGAATTCACACTTGCTTGTTTTGTCCTTGGAACTAAATTAAGAGTGTTATTTCTACTGGGTAAATTAAGCTTGCAGGAATAATGCAACATATATATCCTTACTCCACTGTATTATACAGATATTTTTAAAACCAAATTAATTGTTAATGGAAATGGTGAGCAGTCCAACATAAACTATTTCCTATTTGAATATAGAGTATAGGGAAATTAATCACCTGATCCAGCTTGTCTTTGTTGAATATCTTCATGCCAAAAAAATGTAAAATGTAATTCTAGTTTGAAAAGTGTAAGTGTTATTTTTTGGAGCTCCATAGCAATACTTGTTTTTGCAAAGAATGTCATGTGTTTCCGCAAGCACAGAAATGTGCAATGTGATAGTGAAACCTGGTACATCAGGAAATATTTTCATTACTGACATTTTTCTTTCAATGGAATTCAACAGCAAATATTTAACCCTTTCGGGCACAACTGAATCCAAAAGACTGGAATAAATTAACTAGTTTATTGCCATACCTGTACAACAGATTACATGAGCAGGTTTTTATGACATTTGTGGAGTTGTTGATCACGTTCTTCCTATTTTCTCAGAGGGAACACTGTTCCAAACATCATTCAGCATGTGTCTATCCATTGTATAATCTTGCACCACAACTGGGAACCTGATTTTAAGATACATTAGCATCTTAAAAAGGTAATTTGTGCATTACCCCACTTGCGGATCCTGAAAGGTAAGGGTTTTAACAAGTGATTTTTAGTGCTGGACTCTCTCTGCCATGCTGCAGTCTCTCCGGTTTGTCACTAGATGGCCTGACATAACGATTTCTTCAGCTGTGGTTCAGCGGGTATATGCAGCCATTATGAACCATTGAGAGGTTATTTTCTGATACAGAACAATGAGAAATGTTGGGCCCATATAGCTTGTTTGCTAGTAAGGAATTGATCTAACAATGCCATCCACCCTTACGTGAAGCCTGGTATCTGCTTTAACAACATGGGTGAGTACCATATTCTGGGCTCCCACAATAGTTTGTGTAAAGTGCCTCCTACACACAAATAGTTGTAGGATTCTGGAAAAATGTATACTTTGCTTGTGTTAACAAAAACATAAACCTCCATACGCATACACTCTTGTCTGAAAATGTTGTTAAATTCCAAAACAAGACAGAACTGAGCTAAAGAGACCTGAACCGTCAGAATTTGTAATGTGATCCAAAGTGGTGTACTTGAGACCAGAGGGTTCCTTTTTGCCTGTGCCCTCAGACTCTTCAATCAATTCTCCAGAAAAGCGACCGGGACAGAGGGCAGATTCTTCACATGCAAGTGAATTTACCCCTTATGCAAACTGGAAACATTACAGAATTGTGCATAGTTGCAGACAATATTGACACCCTTCACCTGAAACAGTGATGCAGAACTATTATCTATGGATTAGCAGACAGAGATATTGGTGCACTCTATCTGAACCCAGTGGTAGAGACATCATGAAAATTAACAGTTTGCTAGGATGAATTATTGCCAGTACAGAGTCTTTATCTGTAAAGACTCTAAGTAGTTATAAGATACATGGTTAGTGCTGGTCAAATATAAACGTTCTAATAGAGAAATGTTATATACATTGCTCTCACGAAAGTTTTAAATTGACTTGATTGGAATGAGCAGATAAATCTCCACATATATTTGATATTTTCTGAAAAATCAGCGTTATTTCCAAATACCGACCCAAGGATACAAGGGGGGAGAGTGTTTAGTATTATGGAACATTGACTTTGCAGTTCGCTGCCTAGAGAAATGCAGTGTATCTAAAGCTGAATACATACCGCATTATCAGATTTTAACTAACGCAGACTTTGTACTTTGTATTGAGATGGATATAAATACTGTATTGTAGATGTACTGTATGTTGTATTTAGACGTTCACCGCAGCATCAGGTAGTGTTTATGTCAGAAGTAACAAAGACGATGTCTCCCTATTTGATATCCTTACGTATTTTAAACGAAAAATATTGAGTATTTTATTTCCTCTCACAAAATGGGGAGGGGGGAGGGTAACATTTCTCAGGTCTCGTGTTGAATTGATATACTGGTCACAAGTGGACGCATTAAAAGAACAGGGGCCGCTGTTTTGTGGATAAGTGTAGACAGAGGAGAGCTAACTATTTTTAATTTGGCACAGAGCCCGGGGCAAACGGTACCGCGGCGCTTTCCGGCGTCCTCCTCCCCCCCTCTCCTTTTTTTTTTTCCTTCATTTGTTTTGTGATGCCGTGGTGCCTCGCTTTACTTCACTCTTCGCGTTGCAGGAGCTTCGTGGCCAAACTCCGCGACGAGACGGGCAGGTAATGCCTGCGCTTCGGTTGCTCTAAACCGGGTGTCTGTGCGGTGGGCCGGGCGGCCGGTCGGAAGAGAACAGACGCTTTCGTAAACGTGTGAAGTAACTCTGCGCTCGCCGAGCTCGGAACCCCCCTCGCTGGTTACAATCATTGTTTCTCTCCAGCATTAACTACATTCCAGAGAGGCGCAGCGCACCCCGTCTCCGTCCACGCATTCCTTCCACAGAAAGCAGTCCCTCTTTCAGTTTCTCCCACCCCGCTGCCTCGGCTCCCGGCCACGGTTCGGCCCAGCGACGCGGGGCGCCTCGGAACCAGCGCCTCAGCGATTTACTGGCGTCGTCTGGGGGGGGGGGCAGGCTGCGAGCTCCGGGTGGGAAAAGGGGGAAATGTGCCAGGGAAAATTCCTCCGCGCAGCGCGCCATTGACTGTACGGACCCTTCAACTTCGCAAAAGCCTGGAATTGACAAACGTCGTCTTTTCGGATGGGGGGGCAGATTTCTTTTCGGTAAAAAAAAGTGCTTTTTTTTTTTAAATATCTCCGAAGGATCTGGTCGAGCAGCATGCTAAGAGTACGAGAACGGGAGTTTCCTGGGTGAAACAAGGGCTGATTGTTGGATTAAAAAAAAAAGGTTTTTTTTTTGTTGTTGGAATTTATATGTGAAGTGGAATTTGCTTTCTCTCACTCGGCAGTTCTCAAGCTAACTTGATCCCCCCCCTCCCGTAGCCACAACCATGGATAAGTATGAGGACGATGTGGGACACAGAGCGAGTAAGTTGATAGAGGATCTTTCTTTGTATGAATCTTGCAAGGACGGGATTTACAGTGGGAGAGCCGACATGGTCATCAACCCCGACTTGGAGTTTTCTGCGCGCAGTGAAAGGATGAATGGTGATTCCGTGCCTCACCCCCAGCTACCGGGTTTTGAAAATTACCCGTCGGGGAGTAAAGTTTACAGCACGGCCCCCCTGAGACCCGTGAATGGCAACCGAGTGGTCCCGTTGGACTTCTGCAGCCCACAGAGGGACACGGTTTATGGCGAGGATGGCCACTGCACCAAATCCGAAGTTGCCCTGCCGTGCTACCCCGGCGCTTCCGAGCGGCACCGGAGGTACTCTTTGGAGGTGCAGGGGCATCGGTACAGCACCGGGAGTGCCTATGACGGAGTGGTGTTGAACAAACAGCCTTTCACCCCCTACCCGGGCAGCCGGGGCAACAGTGTCTGCGTTAGCACCAGTCACGACGGCCGGTACTGTGCCACCAGCCCCCGGTCCAGCCTGCCGTCCTCGCTGCCCTCTCAGGAGCAGTGCAAGCACCCCAGCCCCCGCTCCAGCGTCAGCAGCCCCCGCTCCAGCCTGGTGGTGCCCGGGCAGGACAAGTACACCAGCCCCCGGTGCAGCCTGGTGCAGTACGACGGCGGCAGCGCGCTGAGCTCCCGGTCCAGCTATGCCAGCACCGCCAGCGACACCAGCAAGCACTCCAGCCCGCGGGCCAGCTTGAACAGCTACGACTGCGGCAGCAAGCCCAGCAGCAACCGCACCAGCGGCGTCAGCATGGGCTACGACCAAAGACACATCAGCCCGCGGTCCAGCACGGCCAGTCAGTACTCCTGCACCACCAGCCCGCGGTCCAGCTACTCCGACTCGCGGTACGTGCCGGCGGGGAACCCGGAGCACGAGGGCGCCGTGGTCCACGGCGTGCCGCTGGCCAGCCCCCGGTCCAGCATCTGCAGCCAGGACGGCAGCGGCAGAGCCGGGGTGTCCAACTGCGTGGCCAGCCCCCGGTCCAGCATCTCCAGCCACAGCTCCCGGAGTTCGCGCAGTTCCCGGGGCTCCATGAGCACCTACCCGGACCTCCAGCTGCCCTCGCCCCGGTCGTCCATGCTGGGGCCGGGCTTGCAGGAGGATACGGTGGTGCAGGATTTCGGGGACGCCGGCGCTCTCCACCCCAGGGGCCACCTTCAGTCGTCCCCTGCCAGGCAGGAGCTGCAGCTGCTGCAGCAGCAGCAGCAACAAGCCCAGCCGGCAGGATTGAACCCAGAAGCCGGCCAGGGCGCTCCGGCACAGTTTAACTACGGCAGCCCGGCGAAAGGCTCGCCGGCGGCGCAGAAGTTGAAGCTGCCGTACCAGGTCACCCCTTGCCGGGAGAGCGGCCCTAGCCAAGCGGAGAGGAGGCTAGAGGCGCTCACTCTGGAGCTGGAGAAGGAGCTGGAAATGCACATGAAAAAGGAGTATTTTGGTGAGTGTTATTAACGCGGGGGCCCTCACGGTTACTCTCGGGACCCACGCAAGGCCCGGGTCTAATTCTGGGTGGTGACTTGCGTGGCACAACTTTATTCCTGACACTTTCCGTGCTCTGATCCGCTTCCCAGGCTCTGCATTTCCTGGATTAGGCTCCGTAATGCAGGTAGACACCCACTGCGACTGTTAAATAAATTGCAAGGCGCGCAGCGCTGGAGCTTTCTGAATTGGTTTTAAATGCTTTTTGTAGCACACATTTAAGCTGAATAACTGTAATTTGCGTACACGCAGCGTGAAGAGTGTGTTTGCATTAAACAGACACAGGTTATTTAATAAGAAGTGTGCCTGATTTCGTGAGCTGTGTCGTGAAGGATGGAGACAGTGAAGCCTACACTTGCATTAATTAAAAGTGAATGAACGTTTCCTACAAATACACACACACACACCTCCCGTTTAGTGGAAAAAAATCCCCACTTTGACATGAAACTTAAAATAATCATAGTTTTATTATGAAACATATAAACACATGTATGATTTATTACATGTGTGATTGGATACTATGGTTCTGAATTGGCGATGCTGAGCCTTGGCAGCTACTGTATAAAGCGCGTTTTCAGAGTGCAGGACGAGAAAATCCGTCCTCAGGCTTGTCTTCCCGAACGACATGAAGCAAATGCGTGCTTCACTAAGCCTGCAGGAGCGTCTGGGACATTGAACGCCTCCTTTCGCCTCTCTCCGTCCTGCCGCCGTCTGCTAACACACCCGGGCGCTCTGTAGTAACACCTGCCGCTGTAGCGGGCGGACCGAGCAGAAAGAAACGGCTATTTGAAAGCTTAGACCGCCCCCCCCATCTAAGACCCTTCCCCCCACCTCAAACAAAGAGGAGTCTTCATGGCAAACCTGTGGTAGCCCAGACAACCTGACAGCCCGCCCCGTCTTTGCATACTTTTTAGTAACTGCAGGATTAAGGGAACACGTTTTATTTCCTGCTCCATGATCATGTTCATGTTTTACGCCCCTCACCGCACTGATATTCAAGGGATCAGCCCCACACCGAGGTTTTCAGTGCGCTGCGAGTCCAATACAGGGGCAGAAGCTGTGGGGTATAGGTGCTTAGTACAGCCCTCCCAATGGTTTTAGAGCCGATACTGTGTTGTCCGTACAGCATCTTGTCTCGGTTAAGAACTACTCTCCTCAAAGGCTCCCCATCAAACGCCTCCTTCAAATGTCATAAGGGGCATTCCTGAGAAAGGATTCAGGCCTGTGCTCATGTCTGTAAGAAACTGGTAGGGGGAAAATAAATCTGTGTAGTGCGAGAGTAAACAGAAGCACATGTGCAGGTTCTGAGGAGGAGCTCCAGGGAAGAGAGGGTAATTCATTTTAAACTCTTAGCTCAGCACTGCCTGGGGATTCGTCTTCTCTGCTGAAGCAATTAATGGTAGCCACCCCGCTGATAAAGATTGCTGTGCAGTATGGGCCTGTTGGAACCAGCATGAGCCGTTTGATAGCTGATTTACCCTTTTAGCTAGACAGGCATGATGCACGAAACAGCTGTCTTTCGCGAGCATAGATCAAGCCCGTGGCTCTTTACCGGTATTCTTTTTACTTTAAAGGCCTAGCTGGTAGACTCCTATCTTCTTGTTTTCTGTGGGATACAGTACACCTTGTGCTTGAGAATGGAATCCGACTGTAACCCTGATCAGTCACAGTTGTTGCAGTTTATGATTGGGATGTCAATGTGTGTGTGTGTGTGCGCGCATTAGAGAATAAATTTGAAGTTACTGTATCAACAGGGAGTTGATTTCAGTTTTACAGGAGCAATCTGAAACACTTCAAAAATGGTTTAGCAGGGGAATGCCATCTCTATCTTAAATATGTATATAAATTATATTGAAATTACTGTGATGTAAAAGGTAGGGAAGCTTACAGAGGCTAAGAGTAATGACAGAAAGGTTCCAGAGTCTTTAGATTTAACATCTAAATGATTGTAGTTTGTATGGAGGCTCAGTTTGAGGACGGCAATCCTTAGGCTAATTATTTGAATTAATCACGGGTCCCACAAGCACAGCACATTGTGTCTTCTCTAGAATCCCCTTGCAAGCATCGAAAGACCCAGATTCAGGCACTGTGTGAAAGGGGTTGGCTGTTTCATTGCAGCACCATAACAGCTCTGTCACTAAAACTGAAGCACTAGCTTAGCAGAGCTGTAGGAAAGAACATGGCAGACAGGTCCGGGAGATGTTAGTATGGACCAGAAATGTTGCGACGAACTCATGCTTTTATGCAGCGCCGATCAGCGATCAGGGAAATTGGGTACCAGTTTACAGCTGCCCAGTAATTGCCACATGGCCCTGGCATCACAGGGCCTCAAAGCCTGAGACCGCAGGAGCCAGGTCCGGGGCGCGGCGGTGTGGGAGGGCACTCTGTGAGCTTTCTCCCGGAGCGAAGCCGTTCCGCACCACCATTGCTCTGATGTTCCGGTACGCGAAGCCAGTGGTTCAAGCTTGCACTGTACTGCAGTGATGTGGGCAGAGCCCTGTTCCTGCCAAAGCTTGTGACGGAGAGGGTTAACGAAGGTGTAGTGGCGCAAACCTGAACAGGGTGTTTCACGTGACTGCCCCCGTCTGCGTGTGGGTGGTTTCACCCAGTTCTGTGACCCATGCTCAGGTATGGCATAAAATTAAATAGAAACATTGAATATATAAATCCTGATGCATAGAAAAGTAGTTGCATATAAAGGAGTTTACATTTTAAGGTGGGAGGGGGTTGTGTTGTATTTGCAGCCTCCTCGGGGTTAAGTCCCTTGGTTTGCTTGTCTGTTTCTACTGTGTGCATTGTAAAGTCCTGTGTGTTTCACGAAATGAGACCACTACTCTGTTTTTGAAGGACAGTCTCTTTTTGAACTCAAAAGGTTTGAAAAGTTACGCTAGAGAGCCATTCAACCTGTCTAGCACATCTGTACCTCATTGATCAAAGGATCTCATCAAGCTGTTCATTGGTAGAAAGCACAGTATCGGCTTAAACAACGTGCCTGGGTAGCTTGTTCCATACTCCTGCTGCCCTTTGTGTAAAAAGTTTAAGAGCGCTTCTATATAGTGTTCTCTGGTTTGTGTTTCAGCATTCATTCTGAAGAAGTCTTCTTTGTCGAGGCCTTTTGAACACTTGTGTCAGGTTCTCTTATCATCTTTTCTGTTCAAGACTAAAAGGGTTCAGTTCCTATAGCCTGTCAGAGCAGGACATCCTCTTAAGCCCCAGAAAATATCTTGCTGCTCCTCTGTGGCCTGATTCCAGAACAAGCAGTATCTTTTCTATAGCAGGGTAACCAGTCAGTCTGATTACTGTTCCCCAACAAGTCCTCGAGGGTGTGATGACATGCTGAGATTTCATGGTGCTTGTACAAAAAGTCACCTGCAGTAAATATTACAAATTGTGTTTGGAGGCTTGAATTAATTCAGTGGTTTGGTTTTTCACATCCTTTTCAGCTTGTGCTTTAAAGAAGCTGATAAACCTCAGAACTTAAGTATTTTAATTCTTTCACGCATCAGAAACTCTTCTCCAAGGGCATTTGAATGCTGTCACATTAAAATAGCACAATAAAATTATTTTGTAGTTATTTTAAATACCATTATTAAAATATTAACAAAATATCATATGATCCATAGAAAATGTATAATTACCGATCTCTTCAGTTAAAAAGCTGAGTTACTTGCCCTTATTCATCCAGCCAGCCATCCATTTCCTAATTGGTTAATGCAGTTCAGCGTCACAGAGAAGCCGGAGCCTATCAAAGCAAGCAGTGGGTGCAAGGCAGGACGCCGGTGCATTGCAGAACACAAACTTCCACACCAGGGCCAATTTTCCCAGAAGCCAATTAAGAACGTAGTATGACTTTGGACTTGGGGAGGAAATTGGAACACCTGGAGAAAGCCCATATCAACCCAAGGAGAACATACAGGCTCCATTCGGATAGCACCTCAGATCTAGAATTGAACCCGGGGCTCCAAAGCAGTGCTAACCGCTGTGCCGCCATGCCACCCACCCTTATTCATCTAAGGAAAAATGGCAGTGACTTGGTGCTTCTGTCATTGAATACCCTCAGGTGGTTACCTGTCTGTAGGCTGCTGGGGTGCTGACAAGTGAAAATGGAAGCTTAGTCTTTTAGTGAAGGAGCTTCCCAAGCTCTCAGTCAGTGTCTTTAATTGTATCTCATTTGTGGCAGAAGCTGTTGCCCACAAATGAAAATGAGTGGAGCAGTTCTTATTTGCACAGTGAGTTAGTGGAGCTTAAGAATGAGTGTTTCTAGCACACTTAAACTAATACAGGCACCCTGAGATTATTGGCTGTTGAAGTCCCCAGTGCTACTGGCATTTATAAAGTCATGACTCAGCTCACTGGATTTCCCAGTAGGGGACTTTTAGCAGTCTGCCTAGATAACCTATCTTGCCTTTTAGCTTCTGTGTACTTTTTGATAGGAAAAAATCTTAACCATATGGAACCACTTAAACATCAGAGTTGGATAGATTCAGTGCTCTAGAAACTGCCTTCCAATATATAGAGGTGGGTTTGAGATAGAACTTTAGGTCTTAGTAGGCATACTGATCCCACAGGACTGTAAAATAACTGTTTTACAGAATACACAACACTTTATTTTTTTAGCCTGGCAAAAGCAGTGAAACGCAGCTATTCATGTGTCAGTGAAATCATTTTTTTAGCTATGACCCCTGGTCAGAACTTTTTTCCGTATAAACAAACACCGTTGTTGTCTAGTTTGTTATTCTCGTGTTGTAGCCTGACAGTGGTGAAAGACAAAATGTTCAGAACTGTTTTTTTGGCATTCCGAGATCGGTGACGACTTAACCCTGTGCATAAAATCTCGTTTTATGTCGTTTGTCCACACACACACACACAAAAAGGCACAGGCCGGTAGCCCAGAGGGAAAAGGCCTCGCAAGGCCTGCCTGTAGTGCGGTGTCCAGAGGGACAGCGCCGTTTCCATGGC